TGCCAAGAACCTACAACCAAGATTACTTTATCCAGCAAAGCTATCATTCAGAATTGAAGGTCAGATAAAGAGCTTCACAGATAAGGAAAAGCTAAAGGAGTTCATCACCACCAAACCAGGATTATATGAAATGCTGAAAGGTATCCTTTAAGAAGAGGAAAAAGAAGAAGAAGGTAAAGATACTAATTATGAACAACAAATATGCATCTATCAACAAGTGAATCTAAGAATCAAGTGAATAAATAATCTGATGAACAGAAAAAAAAAGGAAAAAAAAGGCTATACAATCACCACCATTATATAATTCCAGGGTATTTCCATCACTCTTAAAAGAAACCTTGTACCTTCCTTTATTCCATCCCCTGGCCCCTGGCAACCACTAATGTACTTTCTGTCTCTATGAATTTTCATGTTCTGGACATTTCATATAACTGGAATTATATAATATGTGGCCATTTGTGTGTGGTTTCTTTCATTTAGCATGATGTTCTCAGGCTCATCGGTGTTATAGCACAGGAAACAAGTTATTTTTTAAGTAAAAAAATAAATCAGTACAAGAATGATTGGGCATCTCTAGCTCAGTGGATAGAGCCTGTGGACTGAAGGGTCCCGGGTTTGATTTCGGTCAAGGGCATGTACCTTGGTTGTGGGCTCGATCCCCAGTAGGAGGCACACAGGAGGCAGCTGATTGATGATTCTCTCTCATCATTGATGTTTCTGTCTCTCTTTCTCCCTCTCCCTTTCTCTCTGAAATCAATCCTATCTAATAAAAGACAAAAATGGTAATTGGCGTACGACCAATACCCTTTTCATTGGCTAATCAGGGCTATATGCAAATTAACTGCCAACTAAGATTGACAGTTAACTGCCAACAAGATGGCGGTTAATTTGCATATGTAGGCACAATGCAGGGAGGTGAAAGGGAAAGCAGGAAGAAGCCCCCTGCCACTGACAGTGATCAGAAACCCAGGGGGGAGCTAAGAGCTGGGGAGCAGGGCAAAGGTGGCCCTGGGCCGCTTTTGCCCTGCCCCCCAGCCATGATTGGAGAATCAGGAGTTTTTGCCGCCCTGGCCAGTGATAACAGGAAGTAGCGGTGGAGCCAGCGATGGGAGCTGGGCACGGTAGAAGCTGGCAGTCCCAGGAGCTAGGGGTCCCTTGCCAGGGCCTAAAGCGAAGCCCACAATCGCGGGGCTGCTGCAGCTGCGGGTCCCCGCTGCCCGGGCCGGACGCCTAGGCCAGAGGTGTTAGGCCTGGGCAGGGGTGGAGCCTGCAACCGCGGGGAGCTGGGGATCCCCTGCCCAGGCCTGATGTCTGGGCCAGAGGCATCAGGCCTGGGTGGGGGGCGGAGCCGTGGATTGGGGGGATATGATGGGCCCCTTGTCCAGGCCTGAAGCCTGGGTCAGAGGCGTCAGGCTTGGGCGGGGAGTGGAGCAAGCGATCAGAGGGAGATGGGGGTCCCCTGCCCAGGCATGATTCCTGGGCCAGAGGCCTCAGTCCTGGGCGGGACCAGAGCCAGTGATCGGGGGGAGATGGGGGTCCCCTGTCCAAGCCTGACACCTCTGGCCAAGGCATCAGGCCTGGGCAAGGGGCCGATCCTGCGATTGGAGGGTGATGGGGGGCAACGCCTGAGGGCTCCCAGTATGTGAGAGGGGGCAGGCTGGGCTGAGGGACACTCCCCCCCACACACACACACCAAGTGCACGAAATTCGTGCACCGGGCCCCTAGTAAAAATATATTTAAAAAAAGAAATCTGGGCCACAGTCTGCTTATGTGGCCGACAACCAAAGGCCTTGTTCTCCATCTATGATTAGCCTTGGGTTCTAATATGGCTGCAGGACCTGAGCCAGATATGACTAGTGAGGAATAGACCACAACTTTTGAACCTCTCTCTCTCTCTACACTGACCAGAACCTACCCAAAGGAAACTACCTTCAAGGAAGACTATTCACAGTTGTCCCCAAGACCCAGTAATCTTTCCCACCATCCCTCACCCCAAGGCTCTGGACCTCACCCTCCTATATGTATCTGCCTGATCACAATGAGTAGGATAATGTGTTTATGAGTCAGCAACTTGAGAGGCACTCGAAGGCAGGGGCCATGTTTTACTCACTTTATACCCCCCCCACCCCCCCAGTGCCTGGTCCAGAGAATGCTGTTAGTTAATGTGTGTTCTGTCCCCAACCAGATTGTGAGCTGCCTGGGAAGAGTGGCTTTACCTCCTATCCACCCACTTTTCTTCTCCTACAGTAAAACCAGACACAAGATTGAGAGCAGGGTGGGATTGTAGATGAGCAATGGTTTAATTCAAGATTCAAAAATCTCCACTTCTGCATAATATCTTTATTTAGCTCAGGAAGATGTTTCCTACACATTTCTAGATATGTGGATATGGATTTTTCTATCACATTAAGTTAGTTGTTTTTTAAGCTTTTACATACTGTATAATAAATGCAAACAAGCAAGTACAATGCAGGCTAAAATGAAAAGTTCCTTGTATACAAACATTTTAAAAAGACATATTAATACAGGGTATAGAGAAAGGAGACCAATAGAAGGTGATTGAATTACCACCCCCTAGTTCCAGATGTGATCCTGGTTCCTTGATATAGGACTCTCTCTGCTCTTTGCTCTTCTAAGACCCAAGTCCCTAGCTCCTCCTGGATAGGAACAGAGGCTGCCTAAGGCCGGAGGCAGCACTGTTCCTGTCTGCAGAAAGGAAGGGAATCCTCCCAGGCACATGTGGTCCCAGACTCATGTGGTGAGTGTCTTCAGCCTTGTTCAAGTGGGGAGCCCATCTCTGTGCCAGTATCCTGGGCTGCCTCTTCCCTTCACTTTTGATGGTTCCCAATTGTCAAAGAGATTGGACAGGCCCTGGTGTGGCTTATTCTAAATGTTTCTCAAGCCAGTCAGCCCCCACAGAAAGTCAGCTAGATGCTGGTTCCAGGGACTTCCAAAGAGCTCCAGAGGGTTGAGAACCTCCTAACCTTATCAGACTTCCTAGCTCAAGCACTGTGTCAGAAGGTTCCATCAGCTCCTATAGTGTCCACTATCTGCATTTAGTATGCAGAGGGGGAAAGTCCAGGGTGGGGTACAGGCATGATCCTTCAGGACTGCCTACAGCTACACAGCAGAATATCACCCAGTCCAATATTTGTGGTTTTCAAGTCAAAGCTTAGACCTCCCTGGGCCATCCCCCTGGCCTGTCTGGGCAGCCAGGCCAAGGAGACAGTTATGGGCCTTACTTCAATTGGTATACCTGATCAGGACTGGTGGGAGGGACACGATATGGAAGGTAGGGGGTCTCATTGTGGCCCTGTGCTTGACTTTACCTCCATCCCCAGTACCACCAGAGACACAAGCCTGAGTAGCTTTTACAGGTACAAGGCTCTGCAGGGCTCTCAGCCACCTAAGAGCGAACCTGCACCTGGAAGTGCTTGCAGTGGGCATGCTTCATGGTCAGCCCATAGATGGGGGTCATGTCCACCTTCACGCCTGGTGGCATGCTGAATTCTACCTGCTGCAGCATGATGGCCAGGAAGAGAAAGACCTCGAAGCGGGCAATGTTTTCACCAATGCACTTCCGCTTGCCGAGGCCAAAGAGAATCACCTGCTCACTCAGTGCCTTGTTGATAGTGCCATTGGGGGTGAGAAAACGTTCTGGTCGGAACTCAGATGGGTCATCCCACAATTTCCTGTAATCAGAGCGAGTAACTGAAGACGCAGCTCAGAAGCAGGAGGTTGCACCCCAGCCTACAAGAGTAGGGGATAGGCAAATGGCCAGGGACAGCAGGGTCTGAAACTCAGAAGAGGGTGGAGTTTCAACTTACTGGTCATGGTTGATCTGCCACTGGTTCACAAAGACACAACGCCCCTTGGGGATGTAAAAGCCACTCAAATTTGTGTCTCTGGTAGTACTGGGGAGGAAGAAGCTCAGTTAAGCTCAGAGCCACAATGAGATCCCTCTACCCCCCATACCATGTCCCTCCCACCAGCCCTGATCAAGTGCATGGACTGAAGTAAGGCCCAGTATCAGGTAGAAGTAGTTCCATGGGGCCTCACCTGTGGGGGATGGTGAAGGGGACGAAGGAGGAGTGTCGGAAGGTCTCCAGGATGAAAGCTTCCAGATAGGGCAGCTGGGGCCTGTCAGAGAGCCGTGGCTGCCGTGCCCTGCCAACCACTGTGTCTGCGGGGCACAGCGGACAGACAGATGAAGGTGCCTCCCATACAATGGCTGGGTCCCCTGCACTGAGCACTTTGAAGGAGGTCACCACCTACCGAGCTCCTCCTGGATCTTTTTCTGCACACCGGGGCTTGTCACCAGGTACATGAGGCTCCAAGAGATGGCAGTTGTGACTGTGTCAAACCCTGGCCAGAAAAGAACAGAGGGAGAAGCCTGGTGGTTGATGGGTTGGGGCAGTTGAGTACAGGAAAGGCAAATGGGGTAGCTCATACCAGCTCCAAAGAGGTCCAAGACGACACTAACGATCTTCTCATCTGACAGCTGGATATTGGCGTTCTCATCCAGCTTCTTGTCCTGACAATGTTTGATCAGGCTGTCTGTGATGTCTCGGATGTGGCCCTGAGTACAGAAGGCCCACGGGTGAGCAAGATCCCAAATCCAGACCTACCTCTCCATCCAGATCTGGTCTCTTACCATCCCTAGTATCTTTGTTCAAGAGATGACACCCCCACTCACACACCCAAGGCTGTCATCCCAGCTTCTCTCTGTCTGACCAAGGCTCTCTCCTGCCCCAACTCAAGAGAAACCTGACAGACAGAGTCTGATACCATTATCATCTGGACGTGCTCTTTACCCTTGTATGTATCTATTGATTGCCTCCTGTCCCCCTGCCCCCCCCGGGGGATCAAACACACCACTTGGTCATGTGCCTTCACCAGGAATCGAACAATGACTTCCTGGTTCATAGGTCAACGGTCAACCACTGAACTACACCGGCCAGGCCTCTTTACCCTTTTCTCTCCCATGAGGCTAGGAGACTAACTTTTTAATTCTTCCTAGTCCCTATAACTGGCCTAGGGTACAGCATGGACTGGCTATTCAGTAAATATTGCTGTCTGTTAGAAGGATAAAAGGACTGGTCAAGAAAACGTTCTATTCCCCTCCATGGATGGAGTCCTGTCCATTACTAACTTCAAAATCCCAGGGTGAAGGCACCTGAGAGTCTGCCAAACCCCATGCTGCTCGAGTTATCAATGACCACCTGACCCCTGACCCTACCTGCTCCTCACCACCCACCTGCCTCTCCCCAGTCTGTACCTTCTCAAACGTTTTATAGTGTTCCTTAACCATCTTTTGCATGAAGATGTAGAACTTCTTATTCACGTCCTTGAAGATACTCAGGGCAGAGTTGGGCAGGTAACGGAGGATAGGGAGGAAGTCAGCTGGGTTTCCGGAAGCAGCCACCTCCCCGAACTCATTACTCAGGTTGACTATACTAAGTAGCTCATGATCATCATGGTTATAGCGCTGACCAAAGCACATGGCACATATGACGTTGGCCACTGACACCACTACATACCTGTAGGGGTCAAAGTGTCCAACCCTTGTCATTAGCTCCTGGAACTTGCTGATGAGGACCTCAGCCTCCTTGCTCACATGCTCCTCCAAGTAGCAAGAAGATGAGGAAGTCGGGTCTGAAGCAATAGAGAAACTCTTCAGGGCATTTTGGGCCAGACGCCGGCGGGCAGCCCACACCGGTCCAGAGTCTGGGTTAAAGGTCATGCTCTGTCCACCAGAGATGAAGGTGAAGCTGTAGAGGTCAGGCCGGCCCTTGAAATCATCGCCCTGCCTCACCAGAGCCTGCCGGATGGTGTCCAGGCCACTGAGCACCAGCACAGGTGTGCAGCCAATGCGGATCTCTAGCACATCCCCATAACGCTGGCTCAGTCGTGACAGCGCCAGGTGTGGGTTCTTCCCCAAGGTCAGCATGTGTCCAAGCAGGGGCCAGCCCCAGGGCCCTGGAGGACTCTTCAAGCCTTTGGGGACCCGAGGCCTCCAGGCCCTGAACACCCAGAATACTAGGCAGAAGGTGGTGGAGGCCAGGAGAAGTTCTGTGGCCGAGATGGGGATGGAGAGTCCAAATACAGAAAGCATGATCAGCGTAGAGATGGCAAGGTGGCCACTGAAAGGTGGGCAGGAGGGAAAGATCAAGACATCATATAAGGGCATACGAGGAACCCGTGTCTTAAAGTATCAGCATGCTGATTAAGAGAAAACCTTATCTAGAACTGCTCACTGAGCATGAAGGGGAGGAGGAGGTGGGAGAAGCTATTGAGCTGCCACTGTGTGCCAAGAATTTCCATATTCTTCATTCAGTCCTGGCCACAGCCTATGAGGTAGGTTGAGGTAAGGCTCAGAGAAAGTAAGTAATTTGCTCAAGATCACATAGCCAGGAAGTTTTGGATACACATGTCCAACCCAAATTATTTAATTCCAGAACACCCTCTCTTATTTGTGCACCAGTTTAAAATAGCGCTCTCCAACGTCACTCTGTGATTTCCATATACACCTGCACTATTATTTTCTTCACATTTTTTAAAAATCAACTTTAAATCTACCCACTTACCATCATCCCAAACAATCATATCTGTGTGAAAGTACAGGTTTGATTTTTCCCCTAATATATGTTAAAATAAACACATAATTGATATGCATCACCTAAATGCCCTTGAGTAATGCTCACCACACTTAGGGAAACACTGCTATTGGGAGAACTAGGCATCATCCACTCCTTTGGGGAAATTGATTTTCAGAGGATGCACTGATTTGGCTAAAGTTACCCAGCAACCAGTGACTGAGCGAGGATTCAGACCTCTTAGCAAAGTTCCCTGGGAGATTTTCAGCTCCTGTCATAGCTACCTCCCTTTGAAGAGTGTTCCCAGAACCCTCAGTTCTCTCCTGCTCAACTCCAGGGTCTAGGGTATACTGCCAGACCCTGGAATAGAGTGGGAAGGGGACAGGGGATAAGAAGACCACTGCCTAAGCCACATGGCTCTCAGCCCCAGCTCTCTATTTAAAAGCAGCTGGAGACAAGTTAGATTAAGGTCCCAGTCACAGAAATCTAGGCCAGAGTCTTTGTTGGGCTCAGTTCTCACTGGAGAGCCATTCAAGATGGGGAGGTTGGCTGTATGGTTCCTACCTCAAGTACTATAGCTGTCTGTGTAGGGAGGCTTCCTGGAGGAGCTGGATCTCAAAGCACACATACAAAAGTCCCGGCTCCCTAAGTGAACTGGGAACACTGCTAGGCCTTGGTATGCCATGGTGTCCCCTTGCACACATTGGGTGCCCCAAGGACCTCTAGGCATACTTAGTAAGATGGTAGGAGCCCAAGAGATATGTGACGGGTGAGTTACCAAGGACTGGTGGTCAAGCTCCTTGAAGCTGACAGTCTCTCACACTGCTCCCCAACAGACGCCAGAGAAGACAGTCAACGGGATAGGGAAGGCCTCTGGGCAGTGCCCGGGACTCCTGCTCAGATCTCTTGTCCAAGTCAGCACATCGTGGCTCTGACAAGCCATGCCTTGGGAGGGTAGAGCCAGCCACGGGTAGCTTTTAGATAAGGCAGGTACAGCTGGTAAGAACACAACCTGCCCCTTCCATTTACCCTGACCACCCAGGAAGAAGCCCTCCTCATCACACAACCTGAGGAGAGGCTATATATGCACCCAGTTTAGGTAAACTGTGTTCTTATTCCACATAACCAGGTGACTCTGATGGGGAAGGCCCAGGCATTTAGAGAGCCACTGGGGGATAAAGCTGGAGTCTGGGTCCTGGAGCCTGAAAGGGGTCCATCTGGATCTAGAATTCTGATACTAACTGTGGGACATTCAGCAAGTCCTGCCCTTCCCTTCACCTCAGTTGCCCCTTTAGGGAGCTGGCCTGCTTAGTCACTAAGGCTACTCCTAGCCTTCTTTTTTAAGGTGCTAGATCAGTGACTACCTGGGAAGACCTGGAGGCATTAAAATGTTCCTTCTGTTGGGAGGGGAGGGGCAGGCCAGAAGTCCCAGCACTCACCTGTGGCTGTGAGGAGGTGTTGAACTGAGCTGGGAAGAGTTGTCTCAGAAGCCAGGACCCCAAAGAAGATCAAGGAAGGCTCCAGGCAACTGTCTGTCACCTTCAGGGTGAGGGTGAAGGCACAACCAACTTTATAGGCAGCTTGCGTGTGGCCACGCCCCTTGGCTCAGGGATGCAACTCAGGGAGGGGCGGCCTGAGGGGGAATAGTTGCTCTAGGGTGGATGGGAAGTGGGGGAGCGGAGGCACAGGGACCCGCAAGAACCCACTATGCCATAGTGACTATGGGGACGCCTCTTCCAAGTGCCGGCACGTAAAAGGGTGAGTGCTGGGGACACCTGGAGTCTCCAGTTCCAAGGTACCCCTTGGACAGCGCAGAGCCCAGGTGAGGCGGGGGTTTGGGGAGAAGTCCCAGCACAGCCCGAAAAGAGGGTATGGGGACCCTCTTTCCCCGGCATGGGGACGCCTCACCCTCATTTTTGTACCCACTGGACCTGTAAGTGCCTCCCCTCACTACTAGCGGACCGAGGCCAACCAGCAGGGGCGGGGCTGCCGGGTGGTGACCTCCTTTTCCCGGTTTACTGAGTCCGGGCTCGCGTGAGAAGCGCGGCGACCCTGCTCCCAGGTCACCGGGGCCGGAAGGCCAGCGGCGCCGATGGGCTGCCCTTTCCCCCACGCAGCGTCCCCAGAGCCCCGGCACCTAGCAAAAAGGTCCGCGCTCCCTGCCCCAGGAGCGGGAACGGAAAATGTGCGTTCTCTCCGAGCGCTCACACGTTGCTCGGTACCGCCTCTAGGGACCACCTCCCGCCGGGACCCACCCGCCCTTGAAGTTCCCTCCCGGCTCCCGGGTTGCTAGCGCTTTCGCCGGGCTGAAAAATCAGGCGGCGAGGGGGGCTGCTTGGCTAGCTCCCGGTGGGTGAGGAAGGGGTTAGAGAGAGGCCCTGGGGCCAGGCAGGGGAATGGGCCAAGAGACTGAGGACGGGGCGCCGGGCACAGACACCTCCCCAGGCTAGCGTGCGTGTGTTCGGTTGCGTGAGAAAGCCTGGGAGTCCGGCGCAGCCATCCAGCTGCTCATCGTCGCTGCCCTGGTGGGGTCCCGGCACAGTCACGCGAGGGGGGAAAGGGGAGCCGGGGCGGGCTCTTACAGGGTGGGGGGAGAGGAGTGGCGGAGCCTGGCAGATGTGCTATTGGATGTGGAGGTGGGGCGGTGCAAAGGGCCCAGGTTTGCGTGCGGAGCTGGGCCTTTGCCTGCAGGCGGGCGCCTGCGTGTA